AGTTAAATTTTTCTCTTCCCTAATTGAGTTCCATTCCTATAAACATTATGATAGGTTTGACAAGACTGCCGAGCGGTTTTGCTTGTGCCGTCTCGATTAGAAGATGTTTCATGCCAATTTTTTTAAAATTGACAAGTGGTTTTTCAGTGTAAAGTGGAAACTCGGCAAAAATTTATTACTGGTCGACTAACATGGATCTTCGCTATTATCGCCTTTTTATTTTTTATTCCATTAGCAGCTGTGCCATTTTTTATACGTCCATGCAAAGACGTACTTCATCACTGTCCAAATTGTAATACGTTATTGTCAATTAGGATCCGATTCTGATAAATTTTTTTTCCCTCATTTGTATTTACTTTTGTCGTATAAATAAATCCTTCGCTAGAAAATTTAGTTGCATTTTCGCATTTAATTTCCCATTTATTTTGGCAGACAAATTACAAAATTGTGAAAATTGCAAAATTAGAATACACAAAATTTTTATTATAAATATTAAATATTCAGACGCTGAAGAATGGAAGCAAAAACATTAATAAAAGAATAATTTGAGATGAATAATAATTAATAAACAATTTATTTCTCTATCTAATAGATTGTTCGATTTGAAAAATTAGAATATTTTTATAATTTGAATAATTAAAATCATTTCGTTTCACTTTATAGCTATTCAAATAATAAAAACCAATAATTTATGATTGCTTCCATACATACAGCAAATTCTCTCCATTGGAATCGTGTGAATGCATTTAAGCCCACTCTGATAAGAAAACTAATATCACATACAGAAAATTTTTTTTATAAAAATTAGGAAAATTTGGAAATTTTTTATAGAAGTTTTATTTTTAACTGTTAATAACTGTAGTAGTATTATTAATAATAACATTATCATTTCGAACAATACTGTCATTTCGAAATAATTGCGAGAACGAACGAAGCAAATAAAAATCACAAAATAATGTATATTAAAATCACAAATCTGAATATAAATCGTAAATTAGCTTCATAAAGGTGAAAGCTATCAGCGAAACTATGCATTCCATTTATCGACGGTCTTTATGCCAGACTAGGTTTGAATCGCAGGAAGTTAGGTTAAAATTCTTGAAAAACGAATTTTATGAATCACTTTACAATGATAATGCATTTTACAATTTTACAATAATAATGTAATATTTAATAACAAATATGTTCAATTCTGCGCTAAAAAAATTTTGCAGTGTCAGTCATATTTTTGGTGAAAGTACCAATATTTAAAAGGTAAAGGTAATGAATGGTGGTGAAACGGTAGTGAAGAGTGAAATATTTAAAATCACTCATGTAATTCTACAATGCATTATATAAAATTATATATAAAATTATATATAAATTATATATAATTATATATAAAATTATATATAAAATTGCTCAAAAAAAAATTTGGGAAAATGCAAAATGCTTCAGATTTCATTTGTACTTTTTAGACATTGGAAATAGCGGGGCACT